CCAAAGGGTAGGCGGCGGGCGGGCCGGCGGGCCCGGCGCGGGCGCCCCGTCTAGCGCCCCGCACCTCTGTACCGCGCTCTCAATCATTAAAGTGGGGTTCTCACGCCAAGCGGCTCCCTGGTGTGTGTCCTTGCTCTGCGTGTGCTTTCTCCGCGCGCCGGGGGGCCGGGGCAGGCCGTGGAAAGCTGGGCTAAACCCGGAGTAAATCCGGAGTAAAGTTGGAGTAAGGCGCGGACGTGAAATGAAGGCCCGAGGGTCCCGGGGGCGTGCGAAGAGCGGGCCGGTGCCGCGTATTGAACACGAGTATTTGCACTAAGGCATGAGTATCTCGTGAGCGTCTTTAGTGTCTCTCCGTAGCTTGTAATTAGTGTATCCTGCGGATTTTTAGCATAGCGGATGAGCTTGTCCAGAGTATTTCTGGGGTATGGAAAGGAGTATATCAGTACATCAGAGTATTCCCCAGTGCAGGCGCTGAGTATGTGCAGAGTATCCCCGGCACAGGTGATGAGTATGTGCAGAGTATCCCTGGTGCAGGAGATGAGCATGTGCAGAGTATCCTCGGTGCAGGCGATAAGTATGTGCGGAGTATCCCCGGTGCAGGCGATGAGTATGTGCAGAGTATCCTTGGCACAGGAGATGAGTATGTGCAGAGTATCCCCGGTGCAGAGTATCCCCGGGCGCCCAGCGTGCCATGTGCAGAGTATTCTTGGCACAGGCAATGAGTCTGTGCGGTGTATTCCTGGCACATTGATGAGTATGCCTGGGGTATCTCTGGAGCAGGCGAGTATTCTCTGAGTATCTGTTCCCGGAGCCCGAGTAGCCCACGAGAAGGGTGCCCAGAGGATCCCCAGTGTAGGCGCGCGTGTACCTGGAGTATCTCCGGGGTGGCTGCTGAGCCTGTTGACACTGCGGCATGGCGTTAGGATGCCCAGAGTATCTCCGAGGAGCGAGAGTTGCGTATCTGTTCCCGACGGGACACCTGCTCGGTGGCCTGCGAGGAGCACCCAGGGTGCGGATGAGGGTCCCAGAGCTGCGGTGGGAGTATTTGTGAGCCCCGAGCCCGACGGGTGCGATGGGGATGTCTGGAGTAGGCCGGGGCATCCGGAGCAGGTGTCTGGAGTATCTCTGGTTTATCCAGGGAGTATTCCTGGAGTATCTGTAGCTTGAGTAAGGAGTATCCCTGAGCATTGAAGTCGTGCCCCCCGCGTATCTCCAGAGCGTCTCAGCGGCGTCTGCTCGGAGCGGTTCTGGGGCGCCCAGCGTGCCTGCGGTGTCTAAGGCGTTGCTGTGTGGCGTTGCTTCCCCGAGTATCTCCGGTGTGTCCAGAGTGTACGCGAGCGTCTGCGGCGTGTCCCCCGAGTATCTCCGGTGGGTCTAAAGCGTATGCGTCGTGTGCTGAAGGAGTATGCCGGGAGTACTCCGGGAGTATCTGCCATGCGTCTCAAAGCTGTACAAAGAGTGTGTAAGGAGTATCCCCGGAGGGTCTAAGGAGTATTTGTGGTGTGTCTCCAGTGCATGTAAAGTGTGTACCTGAGTATCCCCAGAGTAGTGCCAGTGTGTTTAAAGACTGCCCACCGAGCGTCTGAGGAGCATTGCTGGAGTGTGTCTCTCTCCAGTGTGTCTAGAGTATCCTCACGGTGTCTAAGGTGGATACGCGGAGTATTCCCAGAGTATCCCAGGTGTGTCGGAAGAGTACACTTAGTGTGTCTGAGGACTGTCCCCGGAGTATCTTGGTGTGTCTCAGGAGTGTCCCCGGAGGGTCTGAGGAGTATCTGTGGGTGTGTAAGGAGTATCCCCAAAGGGTCTGAGCGGCATCCCTGGAGTAGCTCTGGTGTGTGTCTAAGGAGTATCCCTGGAGTATCTCTGGTGTGTCTAAGGAGTATCCCTGGAGTAGCTCTGGTGTGTCTAAGGAGCATCTCTGGTGTGTCTAAGGAATATCCGTGGAGTATCTCTGGTGTGTCTAAGAAGTATCCTGGAGGGTCTAAGCACTATCCCCAGAGTACCTCTGGGTTTGTCTAAGGAGTATCCCAGAGGGTCTAAGGAGTATCACCGGAGTATCTCTGGTGTGTCTAAAGAGTATCCTTGGTGGGTCTAAGCAGTTTTGCTGGAGTATCTCTGGTGGGTCTAAGGAGCATTCCCTGAGGGTGTGAGCAGCACCCCTGGAGTATCTCTGGTGCGTTTAAGGGGTGTTGCCGGAGTATCCCTGGAGGGTCTAAGGAGTATCCCTGGAGTCTCCCCGGCGGGTGTAAGGAGTGTTCCCGGAGCGCCTCCGGGGGTGTCTGAGGAGCACCCCGAGGGTCTGCGCCGCGCCCCCGGCGTACCCCCGAGTACCTCCTGCGCGTCCAAGGCAGGGCGTCCCCGAGGGGCTGCGCCGCGGGTGCCCGCGGGGGCGCGAGGGCGGGCGCTGACGGCCCCTCTCTCGCGCCCAGTGCTGAACCAGCTGGAGGAGCTGCCGAGCGACATGAAGGCGGACGTGACAACTTGTGCACAATAGGTGTATCCTAGCTGTGGTAGCATTTAGTCTCACAGCAGGAAATGCCAGAATCTTTAAATATCTGCTTCAGATATCTCTGATTAACTGCTGTTATATTTAAATGTTTCCGTTTATTATTAATAACTATTCATTGGAAACTGTGTTAAGTTTTTAGACCGTTATAGAATGTAGATTAAAAAAAGAGACATAGTAATTAATTAATACTTCCTTCTTCAGATTACTTCCAGCATTTGTAAACTCTGGTTAATTGCTCTAGTGGACACCCCATGTCTGCCTTGGGGACACCCTGGGGAACATCTGGCCTTGGGGACATCCCTTGTCTCCTCCGGGGACACCCTGCCTTGGGGACATCTCCTGTCCTCCCTGGTGGAC